GATCCTTGGGTTCACCACCTAAACATGCAGTATGGTGATAGGTTCGAGCAAAGAGAGCCTCCTACCGAAGATCAAGTACTCCAGGTGAATATGGGAACTGAGGAAAATCCTAAACCGATATTCATTAGCGATAGTCTTCTACCCGATGAGAAAGAAGAGTTAATCTCTCTTATCAAGGAGTACATTGACGTGTTCGCCTGGAATTATGAAGACATGCCAGGACTCGACCCGAACGTAGCAGTACATCGTCTCAATATCAAGATGGATGCCAAACCAGTCAAACAACAACAAAGACGGTTTCGTCCGCAAATGATGGAGGCGATCGAATCCGAGGTCAAGAAGCTTATTGACTCGGGCTTCGTTCGAGAGGAGCAACATCCAGAATGGCTAGCCAATATTGTCCCAGTCCTTAAGAAGAACGGGAAAGTCAGGATTTGTATCGACTTTCGGGATCTCAACACTGCTTGCCCAAAAGATGATTTTCCCCTCCCCATCACGGATGTCATCATCGACAATACGTGTGGGTTCGAGAGGATGTCTTTCATGGATGGTTTCTCTGGTTATAACCAGATAAAGATGCATCCGGATGATGAAAAGCACACCGCATTCAGAACGCCCCTCGGTGTCTTCTGTTACACAGTTATGCCCTTCGGCTTAAAGAACGCAGGTGCTACATATCAACGAGCTATGTCAAAGATCTTTCAGGATCATCTCCGAAAGACTGTTGAATGCTACGTAGATGATCTGGTCGTGAAAAGTCGTGATAAAAAGGATCACATCAAAGACTTAAAGACCATGTTCGACTTAATGCGAGCCCATCAGTTGAAGATGAATCCTACCAAGTCTTTCCTCGGAATGTCGAGTGGAAAATTCCTGGGATTCGTCGTCACCACCAAAGGTATCCACATCGATCCTGATAAGGTAAAGGCGATCAATGAATTACAACCTCCGAGAAACCTCAGGGAGCTCAGAGGATTGCAGGGGCGATTGGCTTATATCCGTCGGTTCATTTCGAACCTCTCAGGAAAATGCCAGCCATTCTCCAAGCTCGCAAAGAAGGGCGTATCATTTGTATGGGATGAAGCTTGTCAGAAAGCATTCGAGAGCATTAAAGAATATCTCTCAAAACCTCCCGTACTCGTTGCACCGAAATCGGGCAAACCGTTCTTGATTTATGTCAAGGCGACGAGCCATTCATTAAGTGCATTGCTTGCACAAGATGACGATAACGGTCACGAGCAGGCAGTGTATTACTTGAGCCGAACCATGGTGGGCGCCGAGTCTCGATATCCTATGATTGAGAGGGAATGCCTCGCCTTGGTGTTCGCCATTCAGAAGATGCGACATTATCTGGTCGGGCAGACCATTTACGTCATCTCTAAAGTTAATCCGGTTCGAGTATTCATGACTCAACCCGCTTCCATGAGCTGGCGGTTAGCAAAATGGGCCTTACTCTTGTCCCAATACGACTTGCATTTCAAGCAACAGAAGTCGGTCAAAGGACAGGCCATATGCGATCTCCTCGCAGCTAATCCAACTACGGATCCTGCCGAGATATACGACGACCTACCTGATGAAACCCACGAGGTCAACGCAACTTCACACCAACAAGTGTGGCGTTTATACTTCGATGGCGCCTCTCGAGCAGCTCTTGTCACAGATACTCCTGGACGTTCTAAGGTCTCCTCCGGGGTTGGAGTGGTCTTAGTTTCCCCAGGAAAACCTGTAAACGCACAGTTAAGGCTGAAAACGCACAGCTGGAGCTGAAAACGCACAGTTGAGCCATAAACGCACAGTTGGCCTGTTTCAGGCTAAAAACGCACAGTTGAGCCCATAAACGCACAGTTGAGGCTGAAAACGCACAGCTGGAGCTGAAAACGCACAGCTAGGCTTGTAAACGCACAGTTAAGGCTGAAAACGCACAGCTGGAGCTGAAAACGCACAGCTGGAGCTGAAAACGCACAGTTGAGCCATAAACGCACAGTTGGCCTGTTTCAGGCTAAAAACGCACAGTTGAGCCCATAAACGCACAGTTGAGGCTGAAAACGCACAGCTGGAGCTGAAAACGCACAGTTGAGCCATAAACGCACAGTTGGCCTGTTTCAGGCTAAAAACGCATATTTTTTAAACAATTCTCACTATTTCTTAGTCTTAGAAAAATAAATAAAAATAAATAAAAGATTATCACATCTTTTATAGGTCCAAAAAAATATAAAGAATGATATCCACAATCCACAGTTCTAGATATATAAATTAACTCATTTGATAAAGTACCAAAATTACCCATATCATAATAAAAAAATCCATAAAACAATACTAACTAAAATAATAAGTTTCGAGCAAAAAAACACCGAATCGTACCTAGAAACGCGAGCGAAGGAGAGTCGATGACTCGGTCGTTGAAGAGAAAGGCGATGCCGGGTGTGGCGGTGACTTCGGTGGAAGAGGCGATGTCAGGGCGGAGGCGGCGGCGGAGGCTTTGGGTTCGAGAGGTGGTTGAGGCGGCGGAGGAAGACGTGGAGGAGAAGGGGTTGGGATTGGGATTGAAGTCAGGGGCGATGAATAGAAAGGAGGCCTTTTTGTTTCGGTGGAGCCTAAAAAAACAGAGAGAAAATGAGAATACGTAGTCAAAAGCCATGATTTTTAAATTGATTCTTATTATTAATAGGGGTATAATTGAAAAAAAAACCTAACTAATTTGATTTTCCCCTTGAATGGGAATGATCATTCCCTATCTTCTCATTTGGAATGCTCATTCCCACAAAAAGTGGGAATGACCATTCCATGGTTCCAATATCTAAAAACTAGTTTTATTTAGTATGAGGGAATGAGAAGTGAGAATGACATTCCATTCCATTCCATTCCCGCGTACCAAACGGGGCCTATGTGATTCTGCGCTTTCACTTGAGGTTCGCTGCCTTCTCGGACAACTCCTAAACAGGGGAACTAACAATGGAACTAAAGTTCGAAATTGGTAGTAGTTTGGGCCTATCACTTACGTCCCTCGTCGGCTCCCAGGCAATTACCAAAACTCCATCATACCTCTCAAAGATTTTAAATGCTCAAAAGAAAACCTTTTAAATTTGGTTGTAGTAGTTGATTTGGGAACTAAGCATAGAAAGCTGACAAATTCCTGTAACTATTTTCCTATCTCATCTTTTGGGCTTGTTTGATTCATTTTCAAGTAATACAAGAATAGGTTCCAATGGAAAAAAACCTTTTTTTTTTCTTTTGAGTTAACTTTGTTGGATTTAATCTAATAAATCTATTTGTGGGCACATATGATTAATCAATGTGTATTGCTATCTTTCAGGATAACCCACTAAAGTGATCAATTAAGTTGGGTTAATTTGGTATTTAAATAAGTCATGGAGTTATATGTGCAGATACCAGGTTGTAATTGTGATTTATTAAGGGGCTAAATTACAAAAGTATAACATCTATAAATAAGGGGTTATGGTCCCTAACCTAGGGTGACATTCTCTAATTCTCTACACCCCCATCTAGCTAGAGAAATTCGGTTTTAGAGAAACCCTAAGGTTAGAAGATCATCAAAAACCCAAATCAAGATTTCATCCATGGATTCAAGTATAAGCTTCCGCTCTTTTGATTATTTGTTAATCTCTTTGAATTAATCATGGCTATATGGTTTTAGATCTCAAGTTTTATGATGTAGATCTAACAGGGTGGTGCTACATGGACCCAAAAACATGGGACCCTACATGAGACAGGTGAGTTGTCGGCTCTCTGTCCCACGATGCACTGTGTTCATGAACAGTGCATTGTGGGATAGGGAGCCGACAACTCACCTGTCCCATGTAGGGTTCCATGTTTTTAGGTCCTTAAGGCATTTTTCTTCTATAGAATTCTATGTTTTTCTTGGGGGCCGGAAAAAAAACTTCCCAACATAGAAATCAAAGGATAAAATAGATTAAGGCTAAACGACACATAAATACCATATTGTTTCACCAACTTTGCACAAGTTGTAAAAAGTAGCACTTTAATACATTACGTTGTTTTCAATTTTCCCCCAAAACATTTAACTGAATTTCGTGATTTTTTGTCTACAAACAGCTTTATTGTAGGTAGGGGGAGATTAAGATGTCTGAGAATGGATTTGAAAATGAGGAGAAGGATGGTTTAGATCACGGCGTCACGGAGAAAGATTCTTCCTTGGTAATTTTTTTCATAATAATTTTGTAGTATCAAGCGTATGCTAGGGTTTAGTACTTATTGTAATTTTGTATTGAAGCTTGCAAAGTTCAAAGTCTAAAAGGAAAATGTCGGGGTGGCGGCTTATTTCTAGTGTCCCAAGACTCCCAGCCTAAATGAAACTTTGCATGTTGGCGAATCACTATTATTCTAGGCAAATGACACTACTACAAAAGGCCTTATTAGCAATGGTTAGAACCGTTTCAAATAAGCCTATTTGTAACGGTTTCAACCGTTTCTAATACATTAGCAATGGTTAAAACCGTTGCAAATGGTCCGTTGCTACTAATGCCGTTGCAATTAGCTTATAGCAACGATCAACAACCGTTGCAATAGTTCGCAACCGTTTCTATTAGAGTTTTTTTTATAAAAATTTAAAAAATCCACGTCAGCAAAACTCAACCGTTACTAAAATGTATTACCAACGGAAAGCAATCGTTGCTATAAGGTTTAAATTTTTATTTCATAAAAAAATAAAATAATCGCGTCATTAAATTCCAACCGTTGCTAAACTGTATTAACAACGGAAAGCAACCGTTCCTATAAGATTTGAAAAAAAAATCAATAATATATAATAGCAAAAAATATTATAGCTTATTCTATTAATTAGTCATAGCATTGATATTCACCTATTTTGCATCAGCTATTTCATCTACTTCAAACGTCACAATCATTCAAATGAAACAAATCATTACCACTGTAAAAAATGTAACTTTGATCAATTAAAAAAAGAACTAAGAACTGTTTCATACAACCTGTGCGAGCAAATCCAAAAATTGATGAACAATCACAAAATTTTTAATTTGGACCATTAATTTATAAGGTTCCCAACTCTACACAGTAAAACTTCTAAGACTCAATAACAAATCTAACAAACAAAAATTATCCAAATGACATACGATAGTAAAGAAATAAACAATGACTAAGTAGTATTCAAACGATAAAGTTCAATGAGGCCGTAGCTTATCAATTTCACAATTTGTTCATTCATAATGTTTAATCCGATGACTTCTCCCACCACTCCATTGCAGCAAATTTGAGTCCCCTCGACCATTCATCGCCTTGCAACCTCCATCCATATCATGCATGTGCCTGAACAAAATAGTAGACATTAGAGACTAAAGCTATTTATCTCATTTTCATGGAGTTCAACTAGATGATTCATTTTTAAAAACAAATGAAAAGTATTGAGAATATATATATAATTTTCTTGTAGGTACTTCTTTATCATTTTTTTCTCTTGCCATCTCTAAGCAGATTTCTCGTCTCCTTAACAATTTTGTGTGTGAGCTTTCAAGAATATTTGTCAAGTTTCAACCGAAGTTTTTTTTAACTGTCTTTCCCCTGAATGCTCTGATGCAGAATTTCACAAAGATGATACCTACAGCAGTAAATGTTACTCTTAATCAAGCACATTGAATCCCGAAAACAAGGTACCAACTACTGACCTAATCAAGTCAATTATCTTGCATGCTGCTAAGCTTTCGTTTAACCTAATAGAGCTAATAGTCCAATACCTAAATCAGACCCGTCTAACCCAGTAGATAATTGGGTCGGTTTTGGATGAGTATACTTGCCTTGCTCAACCCAGCTAACTCATTTAACATGCAGCTTCAGATTGACATGTTCTCAGACCCAAACTCAACACCTTAACATACTAAATAAAGTAACAAACTTAAGCTCTAGCTGGAAATTACTCATAATCAGAAGAATAAAGCAATCTGGAAATTACTCATAATAAAGCAATCTGGAAATTACTCATAATCAGAAGAATAAGAAGACGACGAAGAAGAGACTTACAAGCAGTCTCGGCAAATCCAACCTATCAACCTCGTTTATTAATATCATTGCGGCCAACCCACAAAATGTGTACCTTCAAAAAGAACAGGAAGGACATTGCAAAATAGGGTAAGCACAACCCAGGTTCAATCGTCGCACATTCACATAGAGAATATGATGTACCTGCATCCAATTATTGTGGTTGTCTGTTTAATCCAGCCATGGCTTGAAAGCTAGACACTATCCTTTGCATTTCTTGCATTTGATAATCTCTTTCTTCTTTTTCCCGTGCCTTTTCTCTTTCCGCTTCCTCAGCTCTTTTCTGCATCTCCTCGTGTAACTCTTGAATTTTCTTATTAGCAGCATATAACTCTTGGATTTTCTGGTTAGCAACATCTAGCTCTTCTTGAAGTTGAGAGTTGTTTATACTACTCTTGACGTTATAGGATGTAGAAAACTGGTGACTCGTTGTCCTTCCTTTGTATCCAATACCATATCCTCTTTCATATCCCCCATGGTGCTTTCCTGCTACCTCATCAAGAACAGTTGATAGTTTCAATCGTTGGGCTTTTGTTACTGGATCTACATCTTGAAGTTGAACTCTGAGCTCCTCAATCCTTTTAATAACCTTCTTCTGTACTTGATTAAATTCATAACATACAACATATATTGTATATGATTAAGTTAAAATAAAATCACAAACAAAACTTACACAAACGTCTTGAGTTTTCTCATGTGGATAGTCTCCAAGACCCATCTTTTTCTTATGGCACTTAATAAATATATCAAACTCATCATAATTTTCTGGATCTAACTCCTTCTGTAAAGCAGGAAAAAGAAACAGGAATGAGCTAATTAAATGTTAATAACTAGATATCTTGACAAAATATTTAATTCTTATTGTTGCCAATTACCAATTTACGTTTAGTTCGAGCCATAGACTTTTGTCCCAAACAATGCCGAAGTTTCTTTTTTGAAACATTTTGTAAATTTCTAGCAGCTTCATCCTGCAATAAGAAATGACTAAAAATAACAAAACAAATTGTTTTCTCTACATGTATTCGTTATAATATATTATGAGCAAATTTCAATTGAACCTTTTTTTATTTACAACAAGAATCCTGAATAAAAAATAAACTAATTGATATACATTTCTAAATTTAAAACTTACCTCTTTGTTGGGATTGTCTATATAGTTCACAAAGTCTTCCCACTCCCTACGAGTGATCCTCTCAAAGTTAATCTGATCACGTTGCTGAGGAGACGCATCTTTCCATTTCTTGTAATACTTTTTCTTTATTTTTGCTTTCCAAGATCTTACTGCTGACTGCACTGTAAGAGTACATCAACGATGAACGAACATCAAATTTACTGGCATCTTGAATCCAGGGTTCTTAGGGTCTTCATCTCCACTTTCCCAAATAAAATTATCCTACAAGAAAGCCTAGATAATTTATATAAATTAATTTAGAAGTACAAATCAATCAATAATTAAAATTTACCTTTAGAAGCTCCATAATATCATCCATCTTTTCTCGAGACTCATCATTCCACTCCTTATGTAAAGGAAATAAGCTGCCCATTCGTGCGTAATACCCAAGCTCCTGTGAAAGCTGAAATGCCGTATCACTTATAGGTTGTCCACTAATCCATGTTACTATATGCTTCTGTCCGGGAGGAGGACGAAAGGTTTCCAACTTAGTGGGTTTCCTGTTAGCTTTTTTGCCATTCTCATTAGCTGCTTAAACATGCATATGACAATTGAATACGTTAGTCCATACTATTGGTTTATTTTACAAACAAAACTATCATAACAGAATAAATATAATCTGCATGCGCCTTCAAGTGGTGGGCTTTGTTTCATATCTAATCTGCATGTGTACAATCAATAAAAATCAAATTGATGTTGCCTTGGTCCAAAAATTCTTACGTGTGTGTTTCATTTTGATTAGTTGGTTTATTTATTTTCTTTAAAAAATTAGGATCATGTATCTTACCTGATTTGAGCACTATAATTTGGCATGTAGTAGCAGCTCTAGCATGCAATATTGATTAGTGTTTGATTCTTAATATATAGAACTCATAGGAAGATATCATCTTAAAGATAGTGATTGTTTTGAGTGACGCTGGAAGTACTCTAATGGGTACGTGTGTGTATATATGAAAATGTTTTCAAATAGAAGATTTTTGCAACCGTACATCTATTCTCTATATATACAGGATTGAAGAAAAAAAGGGACCTAAATGAATACTGGTCACATTTTTTGACGAGTATGTAACTTGTATTAGGGAGAACTCCAGTACGTCTAGAAGTCTTAAATAGACGACAAGAAACCAAATAAACCAAAAGAAGTTAATTGATTGATAACCAAAAAAAATTACCTGTAGGAACCTCCAGATTGATTGTGTTCTCAACAGAGTGAGTATCCCCATCAAGGCCACCAACGGCTGGTCTTGTATTATTAAAAATATGTGTGCCATCATCAATAATAGGAGTCAGAGGAACAACATTACGACGATATATCGAGGGCGCAGTCCGTTGTGGACGAATAGATTGGGAAGCTAAAAGACAAAGAATGATATAATAAAATTATATTGACTATTTGCTCATGAAAAAAAGGCTCAAAAAGTTGGAAGTAGTACAGTGTTCATACTCATAAATAGGTTATGAATTACCACCTGAGACATGCACAAAGAAATCACCACCTGAGACATGCGCTGAAGTTCTACTACTTGTATGGTTAGCCATAGATGATAGGTCCAAGCTGGAAAAATCTGCGTGTTCCCAAAATATGCAGCACAATCATTAAAACTAAAAAAAGTCATAGGCTATATCTAAACTCTTAGCTTTTCAATAAATAAGAAAAATACCTCCATCAATTGTTTTAAAGTCATAGGCTATATCTAAACTCTTAGCTTTTCAATAAATAAGAAAAATACCTCCATCAATTGTTTTTTGATGACAATCTGGTGGGTTAGTGTTATTTGTGTCCTCAAAGTTCTGTGAGCTAGGTTCAGCATATATTCTTTTCTTCTTCCCGATGATATTTCTTCTCTTCTTCATCATCATGATCGCCTGTTTAGGCGGCATATTGTATTATCTGAAAAAATTCCTTTCATTAATATTCATAAATGTTTAGGCGGCATGTTGAATTCTCTTCTTCTCCATCAATTCTTCTTTTGCTATAATAAAAAATACAGAAATGTACTTGGGTAGTATTGCATAATGGCAGGCTTAGTTAATTAAATAAAATTCTAGCTGGGTAGATAACTAAACTAAAAACAAAATCATAATCTGCATCCAGTTGTCTATTCCCTTATCCTTTTCTAATATATCCATATAAATCAACCATCAAGTACCTTATGTGCATTCAATTGAATTAAATTGAACGGAGTATTAAATGAAAGATAAGCACAAAGAATAAATATAATGAATAAATTTTCAATTAAAATAAAATATCATCTAAAATACCTGAGATTTCTTTTTATTCTTCCCAAGAAAACTTTTAGCCCCCTCGAGATCTTTCTGACTTACAAATGTGCCAATTCCCATATCTTTTCTAACCCACTCAATATTACCATCATCAATTGTAATGCCTTCTGAAGGGATACATGGATCGATGCTCTGAACATAATTAATATCTTCATCTTCAATTTCCTCCTCTGTATATTGCCCCTCTTCAGGAACTTCATAAGTATCTCTTGGCTTCCAATGACACACAACACTCCAGTTTGGATTTTTAGGATCCTTCGAGTAATACACTTGTCTTACTTGTGATGGATAGATGAATGGCTCATCTATGTAGCTATTCCGAGATGTATTAATGGATATAAGATTGTACTCATCTTTCTTCCATCCCAATCCTTCTCTATAGTCATACCAAGTGCATTTAAATAAAACAATAGATTTCATTTTTGGTACTTGTATAACTAATATTTCATCGATTATCCCATAAAATAATTTACTCTCATCACCCACAGTTACAACGCCACTATTTTGTGTTGTTCTTGTAGCCTCGACGGCTTTGGTTTCGAATTTATACCCATTGACACCAAATGCTGGATAACATGTAACATCGGGCAAAGGACCAAAAGCGAGATTGATCACTTCCTCATCTAAATGAACATTTTGCCTCTTTAACGTATTAATATATGACAAAGTAATAAATGCATTAGAAATTGATATTATGAAAAATTATAAAGTTTAAGTAAAGTTGTTTTGAAAGCTTACATGAGATCTAAACCAGTCAACGAAATTTTTATGTCCTTCAACTTGGACTTGGCGGTTGTCCCAATGAGAATGTCTTTGCTTTACAAGTTTATCATATAACCTGGATTACCAATATAGTACTAAAATAAAAAAATATTAATGAAAATATAAAATAGATCCACACAACATACTCTCGATATGGGTGTATTGATTCCATATTATCAAGTATAAAGCGATATGCTTGGTGCAATTCTGACGCCGATAGTTTTTTACTCTTTCCTGTACCAAGGGGACCTTCTTGAAGTCGCACTGGTCGATTAAGTTTTGACTCCACATCATCAAGGTAACGTGCACAAAATATTGTGGCCTCCTCCATCAAGTACCCCTCAGCAATTGAACCTTCTGGGCGGCTTCTATTTCGTACATAGTTCTTTAGTGTAAGCAAATACCTACATAGAAATTATAAATTATACTTCTAGAATAAATATAAAATAAAGTGAATATAATTCATTTCACCATACCTCTCAATAGGGTACATCCAACGATATTGAACCGGTCCTGCGAGTTTAGCCTCTTTTGCTAAATGGACAGTCAAATGTACCATGACATCAAAGAACGCTGGAGGGAAAATCCTTTCAAGCTTGCATAGAATAATAGGAATACTTTGCTCAAGCTTTTCTATCAAATGCACATCAATGACAGCTTGCATAGAATAATAGGAATACTTTGCTCAAGCTTTTCTATCAAATGTACATCAATGACCTTAGAGCATAATTCTCTGAAGAAGCTACAGTAGTCATTCAAAACAAGACCTACATCATTTCTAAGTGATGTTCTCATGGCTAATGGAAGGAGTTGTTGCATCAAAACATGATAGTCATGACTCTTCAAGCCAATGATCTTGCTTTCTCGAATCTGAACTTGTCCTGAGAAGTTTGAAGAAAAATCATCAGGAAGTTTTAAGTCCTTCAAAACTTTTAAGAATCTTTCTTTTTTCCTCTTTGCTCATGCTATAGGATGCATGAGGCAATACAAACTTTCGCTTCCTGATGTTTAAAATTTGCAAATCTCTATGAGCATTAGATTGTCTTTTGTTTTTCCATCTCGACATAATAGAGTACTCAATATGTTATCGTAAACATTTTTCTCAACGTGCATAACATCTAGGTTGTGACGCACCAATAATGTTTTCCAATATGGTAGTTCAAAGAAAATACTCTTCTTTTTCCAACCTTTTGGTGTTGGTTGCTTTTCAAATTTTTTTTCTTCCAAATGCCACATTATTGTAATTTTGCCACTGATTTAATACATCATGTCCTGATAATGAAATAGGAGCAGTATCTTTCTCCACTTCACCATTGAAACTTTTCCTATCATTTCTCCATGGTGTGATTGGGTCGAGTTAGAAAGCGGCGATGCCTTAATAACACATTGTTACTGCTACAAGGTAATATATGAAGCCATGGTTAGTGATGACATAGGCATGCAGTTAGGCCCTTAGCTCCAACCTGATAACCATACACATATTGCAGGGAAGTCATTGAATTGTGCCACAAAATGGCAGGTCTCATATAACTGAAGGTTTCATCATTTGCCGTCAATAGTGTATCTGATAACCATCTTCCATAAAAGTGTTGAGCTCAATCAATCAAGGTTTGTAAAGTACGACCATGCGATATCATTACAGGGTATCTTTGGACCCGTCTATTAAAAGGGCAACATGAAGAAAGATTGCTTTCATAGCAAACCATGGTGGAAGGTTGTATGACATACAATCACAGCATGGCCTTCTGCCGCTTGTCATTAGTTTAAAAGGACTAAAAAAGAAAAACTCAACATCACTTAGCAAGACAAGGCCTTGACATTACGAGGTTCCAGCCAAATAAGGATGTTTTTGCATCAAAATCTCTCAAGGCTTCAGAGTCTCTAGGATGACTCATTTTTCCGTCTCCTTAGAGCGTTTGTGATGGCCAGGTCATGTCTACAGCTCGTTTTTTGGGACATATTAATCTCTGCAACTGGAATCAACGGAAAGTGCCGAAGGATCTTAATAGAACATTTTTACCCTCGAAATCTTCTCTTCTCTTGCTTCATCTTATTCTTTGCACACGGGCGAGGGCATGAATTCAAGTTCTCATATTCCCTCTAAATAGCACGCACAATCGTACAACATCATGTGATCATTGTTGCACTTTAAGCCCATTTCATCCATCCACCTTCTTGCTTATACCATGGTCTTGTGGCACAGAGATTGTCTCAGGTGAAAAGTTCTTTAGCAGGCTCAGAAGACTGGAGAGTGATCTTATTGCTCGCATTTATTCAAACATTAATTTGAAACAAACGAACATAAAAGATAATTTTGAGTACTTCTGACAATTAGGATAAAGTGGTTTCTTTGCATCCTCGATCAAATTTTCAAAGTTTTTGGCATTCTTATCTCTTCCTGTTCTATTTGATGAATCTGAAGTCGTATCATTTTTATAATCCGAATACGATAGACAAATAGATGCTAGCATTCTTGTCATGTCATCTCTTGATGGAAGCACATTAATTGTTTCCTCCCGAAGCCTCTTTCGATTTTCACCATAAAAATACCATTTAGTGTAGCCATGTACAAAACCATTCTTGACTATATGCATTTTAATAGTTTTCGTATCATAGCTATATCGATTTTGACATTTTCTGCATGGACAACATACATTGGACCGGCCTTCTACCGAATGCTGAAGTGCAAACTCAATGAAACAATCCACTCCAGCTATAAAAAAAATCTTCAAAGCATTCATTTTCCTCCTTATACATCCAACTCCTATCGACAATGTAATCGTGTTCCATCTCTCAAGGTATCTAATAAAGTAATTGACATATAAAATTCATTATATTAATTTCAAAAGGAAAAACTTATGGGTAAAATGACATATAATAGTCACGGACAAGGTGTGAATGATCTACTGGTATATAAATATATAAAGTGGAGTCTCTTAAAATGACATGTTTGATGGATTGTTTCATGATTTTGTTTCTTTTCCCTCTATAATAATTTCATGCATACTTTATTCTATTTTTTAAAAAACCCAATAGGAGACAAAAACAACGGGTTATATATAATTTATTCACAACACATGAAATTTTGAAATGGATCAAGAGTCTGAAGAAATAATAAACTTTTTATACTACATGATTAAATATGTAATGAAGACTAGCCTATGTAATTTATACGGACCTCATTCACAATCAAATAGATATCTGAATAAATCACAAAATAGATTATTTGTTTAGATTTACATGAATCAAACATATATTTGTACAAGAATACTATCAGAATAAGTGTTGTAATATAGGCTTATGCAATTAGTATGTATTGCAATAATATAATTCTAAGTTTCTAACAAAAAACCTTCATAGTTGTTTATTACCTTCTCACCATTAATTTCCATCCTTTTTTCAAACTAGCGCATTAGTCACATAAACCAAAATTTTATAATATCCATTAAACATGTTTTAATTGATGAAACACAGGGATAGTTGTCCACCATTTTACTCAAAAAATAATAAAAATAAAAACCATACAATATATTATAAACTATTCTTAAAAAACTATCATGATCCAAGGAGAGACACATTAAAAGAACAAATCGAGTCTCAGATTATATATATTTCTAAAGCAGCTAACAAAGGAACACATGTTTATAGTGGTTGCAAGTTCCCAGTGGAGATTAATTGCATATATACCAGGAAACTTTCACTCATCATCATTAAACTTACAAGTACATACGAAGATGGGATAGGGTTTCTGCTAATAAATATTGAATAAAGAAGACAAATACATTCATCTCCCATATTTACAAGCATGGACAGAATTACAAGCATGGACAGAAGAAGCAGTACCTTAATTTTGTATGAATTTCTAAAATGGGTTACCTAGAAAATTTTGCAACAAGCTACATGCATGCTAAAATCAATTTCACAGCCCCCCCTAAAATGTTTTCTTTTAATCCAAAACATAGTTTATAATTTGTCAAAAGAAAAAAGACTGCTATGTAACAAAATATCCATAAATTTCATAATGGTTGAGGGAGAGCATGAAAATCATGTCTCTTAGATTTTGATTTGGATTTTCCCAATAAGAACACAACTAAACGTTATTTTTTTGTATACAAAATAAAAAATAGAGGGTTTTTCAATATAAATTAGATGCACAGATTGAGGATTTTTACAAGTCACAATAATAAGAAAGTTCAAAATCTAGCAGTATACCATAACTCTCCAACGCACTAAAAAAAGATCAGAAATTTGAAACAATAATTTTGTCATACAAAACTTCAATCTTCACATAAACCCACTTCAATCTAGAATTTAGAAGATTACCATAGATATCTAAAGATGAAATCACTAATAAAGTCCAAAATTAAAAAAAACTACAAAATACCTAGAAATCAGAAAGGGGGAGAGAAGCAACCTCGATCTGGAAAGCGGCGGTCTTGAGGCGTGATCGGAGATCTTGCGGCGTGATCGGAGATCTTGAGACGTGATCGGACAGATGCACAAAGAGAGAGGAGAGCGGCGGTCTTGAGGCGTGATCGGAGTTTTTGAAAGCCGCCGGAGTTTTTTTGGCCGATCGTGGGAAGGGGATGAGGATCGATGAGGTGAGAGCGGAGGGGTTCAATTAGAGGGCCGGAGAGCGGTTGATGAGGATCAGAGGGAGAGCGGATGAGGTCGTTGAGAGCGGGAGAGCGGAGAGAGGGAGAGCGAAGGGATCGGAGGATGAGTTATGTATCAAGATATCAGCGGTGGGGTTTTTTAATCGCGAGGGGGGGAGTGGAAGTTAAAATAGAAATATTTAATCACCGCCTCTGTATTATATTTTTCCCGGTTTTATTTGGTTACCTAAATTTTGTTTCCCACCATAATTTTAATTACAATATCTTTTTCCTTTTAATTTAATTGAGATATACTTGAGAACCGTTTCTGTAGACGGTAAAAAAATACCTCCGTGAACTTGCAAGAAATCCGCTTGCAAGGAGAAGTCGCCCAAGCTATGGGAATGCACTTTTTATCACAACTCGCCTGACCGAGTCTGTAGTCAAATTCGCCAGCAAACCTCAAGGCCGCCAGTATAGCTAGGTATCTGCTACCCCACGTGCTGAGGCAGGCTTTCCCACTCCTCTCGACCTGAAGGGAGAGGACACGGTACTCCAGGACCGTCGAGTGGCCGCTCACAGTACGAGTGATCGGGCAGGTGTCGAGTCGACCTGAACATTCATAAATGCAGCTCACCTCGGCTGTCTGAGTCAAGGGCCGAATCCGCCAGCATTCGGCGAAGCTGTCCAAGCCCACTCGAGTACCAGGAACACACTTTCCCACCTCTCTCGGCCTGAAGAGAGAAGACACGGTACTCCAGGCCCGCCGAATGGCCGCTCACAGTACAAGTGATCGGACAAACGCCAAATCAACCTGCACCCTCATAAATGCAACTTACCTCACTTGTCCAAGCTAGGGACGAGAGCCATCGGCGCTCGGTGAGTTGGTCAGATCCACTTGAGTATCTGACAGCCGTTGTCACACATACGAGGAGGCGCTTTCCCACTCCTACGAGACGTGATGCAAAACAAGGCTCCTCGAATGACCGCTCATGGTACAGGTGAACAGCAGGATATTTCTGAACATTGTATGGTCACATCCCATAATTCAAGGAACAGCTAAACTGCCTCTCTTTCATTTAAGAGCCTCTTCCAACAACCTTTAAAAGAGGTCGAAAAACTTTGGGAAAGGCATCGAGACCAAGCTCTCTGCATAATTTTTGCATTGCAGCACCACTTCTTAGTTCTGAGCCCTGATCGCCGGTGAACTAGAAGATCCGAACTCTATCGACCCGAGCTTCTACTGCGTACTGAAGCTCCCCAGCAACCTCGGTCAAACGGTCCAAGGGAAGCAGACTCGACACGAGCATCGAGCGAAGCATCCTGTAGCTACCAAAAGTCTCCACACTAAACAATGAGGGCATTCCTCTGCTTCTGTTGTAATTTTGATTTATTAGTTTGTAATAAGCATTCTTATCAATACAAACGAAGTTCCCTATTTTTGGGAGATCAAAATTTACACCCTACAGAAGATGGCGACCACAGTGGGAGAAGCTGTTTCGTCTGCCGAAATGGTGGTATCTCAGTTTGACGAAGTTGCTGTTGGGACGACCGTGGAGTCCCTAGAGATCTAGTTCGACCAAGCCAAGTACGAAGAGTACTTGTCTTCTTCCTCCTCTGGTGGCGATGCGCCCCACAAACGCCACGGAGTCGTGCACCGAGGCCGACCTCAAACGGTTAAAGCCTCCGCACTTGAGGGTTCCACCCGAGTCTCGTCAGGGGAACCCGCTCCCTCAGAATCGATCAAGGCCAAGCCAGAGATCGAGAGCAAGGGACAAGGGTCTGCCAGATGGGTCGCCAAGCGGCCCCCGCGGACACCTGTCCCGAAGGAAACGCCGGTTCACTCCGGCACAGACTACATTGCCACAGCCCGCGGTGATGCTCTCCTCGCTGGAAGAGCTAGCCAACAGCGACGACAGACACTCGTCAGACAGGAGGCCCAAACCTTCGTTTCCCACAATGGCCTGAATTATTATACGGGCCCGAGAAACGTTAAACGAGAAGGTAAACTGCCGACATCGGGAGGTTCTCCAAATCAGGAGCGCCGACCGAGGAAGACAGGGCCACCCGTTCAGGAGGACTTCGCTTCTCAGGTCACATCCCTGATGCGAATAAACCACCCCGAGCAAGCGAGCCTACCCGAATAGGCGAATCCCCAAGGGCTGGCGAGCCTCGCCATAGCCCCTTGGCGGATAAACGTAAAGGCAAAGAAGTAGACGACACCTCGCGAACCTGCTCGTTCAAACGAAGGGTTGAAACTCGCCTACATACTGGAGTTCACCCAAACGTGAAAACTCGCACGTTAAGGCGAGATTGCCTAACTCCGACACCAAAACGCTCCACTCAGCGTGCACCAGAGAATACATCCAAGGCTCTCTCGTGCAATCACCCGGGCGATCCTTCTGATGCTGGAGGTTGTCACCAACCGCCCACAGAAGACCTCCGGGAATACTTAACTCGCAAACGCACCATACATGAGGCGAATCCTCAGTGCCATTGCGAAAGGCTCATCCACACGGTACTCGCCGACTGCCAATGCATAGGAACGGCGAAGCCTTCGGTGTTTGAGAGACTTTCTCGACAGCCTTCTCGACCAAGGCCCTCCCGTCGAAAGCGTCGTCACCAAAAAGATCGCGCTGCCGACGACCTAGAACTCCCGTTCGCTACAATCAACATGACGGACAAGGGTAAGGCGGTACTTTCCGACTCTCCAGATTCGGACCCCGTCCTGGGGCCTAATCCTCGCCTTATTCAACACCGACAAGAGGGCATATACCTGCGTACCCATAGTCGCAGGGGGGTAAGCATCGGGTTTGATTACTCCACCTTAGCACCTCCCTCCTACGGCGAGGATGAGGTTCACTCGGCGGCGGCCACGTCTCAAACCTCGCGCTCAAGTCAGGACGCGCTGGCAAGGGTACACATGACCGAACTCGCCCATGAGCAGACGGTCGCCCAGAAGCTCGAAGAGCAACAGGCGACCATAGACTCCCTAAGGGAGATGATGGAAAAACTTCTGAACAAGAAGAAGAAGAAGAAGAGAACCCAGCGCACCTTACCCCGGCGAACAGGGGATAAGGAGTGAGTACCTCCTCATCGTCCAGCGACTGAGACGAAAGATAATAGTAATCCACAGTCCGATTACTCTTCCAAGACATCGTAGGAACGTCGCATACAGAGGGTAGCACCCGCGACAAGAGGTTCGACGAGTTCCAAAATCTGCTCAACGCACTCAAGCTTCAGCAGAACATGAACAAGCTGGGGGTGGTCCGACCCTACCCTATCGAATGGGATACGGTCCCCTACCCGGCGAAATTCAAGCCGATTAGTTTGGTGAAATTTGATGGCAAGGGCTCGCCCTCGCAACATATTTACTACTTCATGGCACAGACCGGATTCCTTACGGGGAACGACGCTATTCTCACTCGGCTATTCATAGGCACCCTCAAGGGGGTGGCCTTTGAATGGTTTCGCAAACTAGAACCCGGCTCTATCAAGTCATGGGCCGATGTTGAAAGGCTCTTCCTCGCCCGCTTCTTCGACGACGACACGGAGGTGTCGATGGCCACCCTCCTCGCCGAAAAGCAACGAAAGTTGGAGTCAGTCAACGACTTTGTAAAGAGGTTCCGTAACCGATCAGTCCACTGTCGGGACCAAGTTTCCGAATCCACGCTAATTGAGATGTGCCGCAATAATCTCTCGATCCATATCCTATCCAAAGTGGGCGCGGTAGAGACCCGGACATGGAAGGATCTTGTTCTCCAGGGCGAGCAAGTGGAAAACATGATCAAGAGGTTAGAGGCCGAAGAGCCGCAGCCCAAGAAGGGAGCTGCAGAACCAGCTGTGCCAAAGAATCCCCCTCGGTCCAGAGGAAAAGAGATCATGGACGTCGACTCTACCCCGGCGCCGAAGGCTGCTCAAAGGCTGAAGCCCAGACAATTTGAACAACGCCCCTCGCGGCAATACGACTTCAAAGAGGATCAGGTGGTGGCGACATTCGACACTCTGCTCAAGAGCGGGCGAATTAAATTGCCAGAAGCCACGAAACCTGAGGAGGTGGACAAGACCAATGACCCGAGTTATTATGCTTACCACAGATTCCTGGGCCACCACACAACTAAATGTTACGTCCTCAAGGATAAGCTCCAAGCCCTCTACGATGCGGGGGTCCTAAAGAAGGAGAAGGTTCAAAAGCAGGTGACCACAAATATGATCACCTTGAGCTTTGGAACAAATCTCCCAGAAGTCCAAGCTCCGGCAGGGAAAATTCCCATTCCCAAGGCCGTCTTGAAGATCACCAACGATGACCCTCACAACCAGCGAGAGAAAGGTTTAGCTCCGTAGATTCTGCCATTGGGTCAGGTGATGTGGGTCCATCCGGACCTCCTCAACGACGAACACTGGACTACAAAGCCCTCGAAAGAGGCTAAAGGAAAACATTGTAATATCATCTTCGCCATTCTAGGTGGGGAAAAGACAGCAATGACCGCCCTGACCGACTCCGAAGAGGAAGCCACTGTCCTCGCCACGAGAGCAGGGAAGGAATTCGCGAAGGAATATCCCACGAGGGCGGAGAACCCGACAGGACCTCCCACGAGGCCAGCCGCAACAGCCCCTCCCAATCCAGACAGACCAGGCTCAAGCCGCCAACATTTCCAGTTCAATGTGCTCGTGCAGCTGAAGAGCATCCCTGCGCGAATCACCATGTACGATCTCCTACGGCTATCCAGGCCTACCCGAGAAGCTCTGCAAGAGGCACTGGCCGACTCGGAGGTTTTCTCCACCCACTTCTTGAGGGAGGAGGACGCAGAACAGGAATGTGCAATGTGTTGCCAAACGTCTGAGAGACGAGTCCCGTGCATCACTTTCACTCCGGAGGACATGCTCATCAAGAGCACATCTCATGACCGACCACTATACTTCACGGGGTACGTCGGTTCATCGAAGGTGGATCGAATTTAGGTCGACCCAGGTTCCGCGTTGAGTATCGTGCCTTTGAAATTGATCAAACACTTGGGGATACCGCCAAAGCGCCTATCCTCGACCACGACGACCATCTTTGGCTTTAACGCCACGGGGACTCAGCCGCTTGGCAAAATCCGCCTGAAGTGTCGAATAGGCGATATGAAGACAGAGGTGACTTGCTACGTCATCGACGCCGAGCCTTCCTACAACATACTCCTAGACGTCCATGGATCCATGGCAACCAAATAGTTCCGTCCACGTTACACCAGTGCCTGAAGTATGTGGACGATTATGAGCAAGTGAAGACGGTAGTGGCCGACAAGCAGCCCTTTAAAGGCGTCGAAAACCACTTCACGGATTCTTTGCTGTACCAAGACCCCGACGAGCCACCGGCAGAGGAGCTGGAGAGTGGCAACGAGGCAGACAGCGAGCCTGAGTACGACGACAGCCTAATCCTGAACGATTTCGAGTCAATTGTAATCGGTTACGAGAGTCACAATGTAACTAATGCTGTTCGGGCGGAGGAAATTATCATGAATGAGAAGTCCAACTTTGCTTATTTGTCGTCTTGCTCCACATCTGAGGATGATGCGCCCAATAACCTATGGTCAAAACTCTACAGTGATCCCTTCCTGCACTTGCCAGTATGCTCGTCATACGTCGCCAAGGCACAGCCGATCAAGTCATCACAAGCTATGCTCATCGTGCCAGTCCAGAATAATTATCGAAAAGATATTATCTTCGGTCGAATCGATCATCCCCTACGCACGCTATGGGATGAATCTGAGGACGAGGACCCAACGCCCCAGTTTTCGCAATACAGTCAAGTTGCGAAACGCATGATGAGCGACATGGGGTATGACCTCACTCGTTTAGAGGGCCTGAATTACGGCCGAGGGCGCAAAACGGTCATCCGACCCGCTTACGTACCCAAAGGAAAACCCTCAAATTACTTCAACAGGACTCGGAGAGGCTTAGGCTACTCCTCCTCCTCGTCGGATTTATGTTTTTACGCCAACGAGGATTCCGACTATGCGTGTTCGGGGGATCAATCGTCAACAACCTCGGCGTGGGACTCGGATGTCAGCGTGAGGGATCTCTTGGGACTCAGACGTCAGCGTGAGGGATCTATTCGATAGCCTTACGGTCAACATGGCTACGATGGACCCCGCCGAAATGGCGGAGGATGGACAAGTCCCGCTTTATGACGAGACGTGGGATCGCCATGTTAACACCCAATGGAACAGTCGCTTTGAGCAAAGTGAACCACCGACCGAAGACTAAATCCTCCAGGTGAACATGGGTAGTGAGGCGAATCCCAAGCCCATATTCATCAGTGGCAGTTTGCCTCCCTAGGAAAAAGAGGACCTCATTGCCCTCTACGGGAATACATTGACGTCTTCGCATGGAATTACGAGGACATGCCCGGCCTGGATCCGCGGGATGCCACACATCGCCTTAACATCAGCCCAGGCGCCAAACCAGTCAAGCAACAGCAGAGGTGGTTTCGCCCTCAGATCATGGAGGCGATTGAAGGCGAAGTGAAGAAACTGATCGAGTCCGGTTTCATCAGGGAAGAACAACACCCCGACTGGGTGGCCAATATTGTTCCGGTCCTAAAGAAAAACGGTAAGATTCGCATCTGCATCGACTTTAGGGACCTTAACGCTGTGTGCCCCAAAGACGAATTCCCCCTGCCCATCACAGATGTCATCATTGACAACACGTGCGGATTCGAGAGGATGTCCTTCATGGACGGTTTCTCGGGGTACAATCAAATCAAAATGCACCCCGAGGACGAGAAGCACACTTCATTCAGAACTCCTATGGGGGTGTACTGCTACACCGTTATACCCTTTGGGCTCAAAAACGCTGGCGCAACCTACCAACGCGCCATGAGCATGATCTTTCGAGATTATCTGCGGAAGATGGTCGAATGCTACGTGGATGACCTGGTTGTGAAGAGTCGCCGTAAGGAGGACCACCTCCAAGACTTGAGGGCAATGTTCGAACTCATGAGGACTCATCAACTCAAGTTGAATCCTACTAAGTCATTCTTAGGGATGTCTAGCGGCAAGTTCCTCGGTTTCGTCGTCACGACGAAAGGAATCCGGATCGACCTAGACAAGGTGCGGGCTATTCAAGAGCTTCAACCGCCCCGAAATCTTAAAGAGCTAAGAGGCCTTCAGGGATGATTGGCTTACATCCGAAGGTTCATCTCTAATCTTTCGGGCAAGTGTTAACCCTTCTCCAAGCTAATGAAGAAAGGTACTTCCTTCGTGTGGGACGAACCTTGCCAAAAGGACTTTGAAGAAATCAAGGCTTATCTCTCAAACCCGCCTGTCCTTGCGGCGCCGATCTCAGGAAAGCCGTTCCTCATCTATATACGGGCTATGGATCATTCTCTAGGCGCCCTCTTGGCACAAAATGACGATGCAGGCTACGAGCAAGGTATCTACTACCTGAGCAGAACCTTGCAAGGCGCCGAACAGCGGTACCCAATGATCGAAAAGGAATGCCTGGCCTTAGTGTTCGCCATCCAAAAGATGCGGCACTACCTAGTTGGCCAGACGATTCACGTTATTTCCTGGATGAACCCCATCCGAGTGTTCATGACACAACCGGCAGTGTTGAATTGGTGTTTGGCCAGATGGGCACTCCTACTATCTCAATATGATATCCATTTCATGCCACAAAAGTCGGTTAAGGGGCAGGCCATCTGTGATCTTATGTCTAGTCACCCGCTGAGGGCGAAGACCGACCTATTTGAAGATCTGCCAGATGAACCCCCTGAAGCCAATGTAACTTCGTCACCAGAGGTATGGCAGATGTTCTTCAACGGCGCGTCTCGCGTAGGCACGAGCGGCTCTATTGTCGCAGGAGTGGGGGTGGTCCTCACCTCTCTACACGGCCATGTGTTACCCAGAGCCTTTTCTTTGACAGAGCTGTACACCAACAACATGGCTGAGTACAACGCGTTACTCATAGGGCTCGAGTTGGCCGAAGAGTTAGGGATAAAGCATCTGAAGGCTAACGACGACTCCCAACTCATCGTTAAGCAAATGACTGTCGAATACGAAGTCAGGAACGACGATCTCATCCCGCTCCACAAAGCGGCTATCAAACTGGTAGGGTCATTTGAGAGTTTCCGCATTGAGCACGTGCTCCGTTCCAAGAACACGCATGCGGACGC